GGTTGGAATTATCAAAGGTTTTTGACACCTGAGAGACACCGTAGCAACTCCTTTGTGTTTGGAAGCAGAGGGTGGGGGTGGGGGGAGGACCGGGGAGGATGATTCAACCACTCAACCACTAGATGTCGCTGAAAACAACAAATCCTACACACTGTGCCTTTAATAAGACATGTGAGTTTCGCTTTGACTGTTTTGTTCATGAAGAAGAATCCAATAAAAGTTCTTCAAAATCACCACCTGGTGGTGAAGTCCAGGGAGGATGAGTCAACCACTCAACCACTAGATGTCACTGAAAACAACAAATCCTACACACTGTGCCTTTAATAAGACCTGTGAGTTTCGCTTTGACTGTTTTGTTCATGAAGAAGAATCCAATAAAAGTTCTTCAAAATCACCACCTGGTGGTGAAGTCTTGAACTACAACATGAGCTACACCTCTCTCTGTAGCTGTGATGTCATGCTACAATATTGTGCTTGATACATGCACACTGTTAAGAACTTGTAACATTTACTATAAAAAATCCTCGTAACAATTTGCACTTACTTTTGTTAAGTAAATTTAAATCTTATAACATAAACTTGATCAAATTAAGTAAAATTTACCTGATTTATTCACAAACCTTTAACTATATTTTTAACAACTTTCAGTGGATAATGATGAGTAAATATTACTTGAATTTGTAGCATTTAAATTTACTTTACAAACATTGGTGCAAATTCTTATGAGGATTTTTTTTTCAAGTTAATCTTACAAGTTCTTTGTAAGAGTGCACATGCGTCAAGCACATTATTGTAGCATGACACCTTACAGCTACAGAGAGAAGTGTAGCTCTAGCTCATGTTGTAGTTCAAGATTTCACCACGAGGTGACAGTTATTCTTTTTTATGAACAAAACAAACAAATTGAAACTCACCGGTCTTATTAATGACTAGGTCTACCACTCTCACTTGTGGTTACTTCTGCTGAACAGTTTAACACAAGTTAACAAATAATGAACACATAAATTAGAGTAACACAACAGACTAAATGCTGAAATAACAATGTCAACCAATTCCCTAAAATGATTTAACAACAACAAACATGAATCCTACCCACAATCCTCCACTGCAGTCACATGACAAACAGCCAAACACAGCAGAATGCTACAATATGCATTCCCTGTTCCCTGACAACTAAATATCACCTACATTATGTCATCAAAAGTGGACACCAACAAATGTATTCAAGCAAAAGAAACCAGACAACTTATGTTTTATTTCGACCATGTCTTGTCCTCTCTTTGAAAAGTGAAACAAAGGAATGAGGAGCAGCAGACGTTGTGTGTGCATGCGCCCTCAGTTTTAGCCCAGAAGAGTAGAAGTTACTTAATATATTTATGTTTATGTGCTGTCCAGAAAAATCACTTTAATATTACTGGTAAAATAATATTAGCATTTACTTTTTTGTACAGTAATATTGATATATAATATAATGCTTATTGTTTATTTATTAAATTCTAGTAGTTTAGAAATGTTGATTTTTTTTGTAAAATTTAAAAGAATAATTAAATAAATGTTACTACATCCAAAAGTCATTTTTTCCAGTGTACTCTAGTCTTACCAGACTGTATACCAGTCTTACTTAACAATACTCTAGTCTTACCGGATTGTGTACCAACCATACCAGACTGTGTACCAGACCACCATACTCTAGTCTTACCAGATTAATTATTTGAATACCAATTATTAAAAAAAATAAGTAAATCATAATTTAAAAAAAGACAGACGCTTTTTATTGTTTTGCCCTGATACCTGGGGGTTTTGGGGGGGCTGACAGATCTACTGGTCTAGAGTAGAACACATGTCCGGCTCTGTGGAGACTTTCCACTAAACTTTTGACAACTAAAATCTACGAAGACGGACAGGATCACCGTTTCCTTATTCTCTGTGAAAACATCTGAAGTGAGTCGGAGCTGCCTGCTACTCGGTAGCTATTCTTTTCCAGGACACCCCCCTCTCTCTGGGTCAACTCTGTGTTTGTATACAAGAACGCGTCACAGTTTGCGTAAAGACGTCCACACCCATCAGCCCCCCCTCCCCGCTGCTCTGTGTGAATCTGATGCAATAAAGGCAGCGCTCACATCCCGCCTCCATCAGAATCACCGGGCGGCTTCGCTGGCCTAACACAGACCTTATCTCCGGGATTTTAACCTCTTTTTATTTTTATTAAGTCCATCCAAATTATCTGTAGCTCTTCTATTTGTTAGAGTGCTTTGACTTTTACTTGAACTGTTTTATTTAGATCATTCATTTTTAATCATTTCATTCATTTGTATCGCATAGAAAATAAATATTCACAAGGATTTTTTTATTATTATTTTTGTGAAGAAATTCCACGGATTTGTCTGTATTTTGAGGTTTTTCTCCCTTCACCTGAAAGGATTTTGGCTTCATCCTCCTTCCTCTAAAGGTGAGACGCCGGTTTCTCTTATTCTGAGGGTGGAAAATTACCAGCTGTAGGAGGTGTGCGTCCACATTACGGGAAGCTGAAAATTTAAATAAAAAAGGTTTTGTGATACCTTTCTGCTCCATCATCTAATTATTCATTTAACTTCTGTTTTTAATTATATTTGTGTTATATTTGAATTTATGAGTAAATGCCGTTTTTTGAATTTATTTATTTATTTATTTATTTATTTATTTATTTATTTTCGTGTCAGTAAATAATGAAGGTGTGACAGTGATGCTGCAGTTCTGGACACGAGAATATTCAGCTCCTGACTYACACACTGGGTGGAAAGTTAAAGTGTGTGTTTGAGTCAAAAATGCAGACAGTCAGGAGACACAGCCATGTCCATAAAGGGACAACACGTGTCTTTGTTTCTGTTGGAGCCGGCTGCGGAAACAATGACGTTAAGTCCGTTTTTACGCCTTTTTTTTTTTWTTATTTTGTTTGGGTTTTTGGCACTGCCGAAGGCTAAAATCCACATTTTTTTATAAACTGTTTAGACTAAATCGTAATAATATTTTCAGCTCATCTAAAAGGCAGCCTGAGTAGAATTTCATAATGTGACATCTATGTCATGTTTGAAATAATCTGGGTCTATGTCTGGAGTGCTTTTGTGGATTAAAAGTCATTGGCGCACATTGCGGATTTTTAACGATGAGCATCCTCGATGTTGAGCAGGATGTAACTCCGGTATTTTTCCACTTACCGATGCGTCATCCCCCCTCCCTTCCTTCTCCCTCCCCTCCCCCTCCCTTTACAGAAACAGCCATGTGACCTGGTGCGGCTCAATGGGCGCGCACAGGTACAGAGGCCGGGTGCAGACAACAACAATAATAATAATAATAATAATAATAATGAACATTCCCTCCTTCCTTTCAGCTCTAAACATGCCCAGTGAGAAACAGCCCGCTGCCGAGATGAAGTGTCTGAGTGCTGCTCCAGATGATGACAGCAGCAGCACTAACAGCAACGACTTTGGTTATCCTGACTTTGGCAAGAAGGTCCCTCTGGACAGGTGAGGTTCAAATCCACAGTAAAACATCCCTCCCACCCCCCATCGCACACGCTCAACTTTTTTTTTTCTGTTCCTTTTAAAGCCAATATCCTGATTTGGACGCAGAGAGCCAAAACTTCCTCCCTGAAGTTCACTCCAGCAAGAAGAAGTATGAGGCTGAATATGTAAGAGCTCGTTCCAGCAGATTTATCAGAATGTCGTTTTCCTCTGTCGTTGCTGAGCGTCTTGTGTTCTCCACAGCACCAAGGCAGTGCCTCCTTTGGGATGTCCGTCTTCAACCTAGGTAATGCCATCATGGGCAGTGGCATCCTGGGTCTGTCCTGGGCCATGGCCAACACTGGCATCGCCCTGTTTGTGTAAGTGTCTTGTGAGTAATTAAAGGTTCCTTTGATGAGCCTGAAGGAGTGGAGGCAGGTGTGGTTTAGTCTTCTGCTTCAAGGTCCTAATGTTCCGTGGATATCCCGTCAGCAGCTGCTCGACCCTGAGAGTAGATAACGCTGGATGTTTGTGATTGTTCTGATTATTTTTCTCCATTTCACTCCTTTGCACTCAAGTTTCAGAAAGAGAGAGACTTCCTTTTTAGCAGGAGTGCACCCTGTTGGTTGTTCAATGCATCAGATTTGATAAAATGTTGAACTTAAAGACATTTTAAGACCTTTCTCCCCGTAAGCCGCACGTCTGATTGGGTGTCTCACATGGAAGTTGTGAGCCATTTTACAAACGCAGGGAGCGGCCAAGGAAGCAGATTAGCCGAGCTAATCCTTCTGCACCAGCCGTTACGTAAACAGAAATGCTAATATAGGAGATCATGAATGGAGCAGAGAGACTGACCAATTTGAGCCCTTGATCTGCAGGGTTGTCAGGGATTGTTAAAAAAAAACCTCTGATACAAACCCCTTACTGTAACAACCAATCTCTCAATTTTGATGATTCCACACAAAAGGTCATCTGAGTGTATATCTGCTGAGTTGAAGGGTATAAAGCGGTAGGGGAGATGAGGAACTTCTAAGAAAAGCTGGTATGCAGACAGAGGAGGGGTAACTAAGTCTGCTGGGTGGCAACGTCTGTGAAAAGTCTCAAATGGCGACACTGGGTGGGGGGGATTAATTTTCACCTGGACTATAAATACTCCAGGACACACTGTCCCTGAGACGTTAAGAGGATCCCATACAGGGAAACCTTTCACCCTTTTCAACCCTTCTGTTGTGTTTTAAACAGGATTTTTAGAAACCAAGTTGGGAGTTTTGTCAAAATGGAAGCAAACCTTAAACTGGACATGGCACAGCAGTAGTCACAACAGATCGATACTAAGCCTTATTCTTTGCACGTTAGCATTTATTGTCTACTGTTTTCCCCTGTACTTAACGCCTCTGTTATGGGTCAACAGCTAAAGGTCCTTACTGTGTGTTTACAGGATTCTCCTCGTGGCCGTCGCCATCTTCTCTCTGTATTCTGTCCACTTGCTGCTAAAAACGGCCAATGAAGGAGGTAAGCAGTCGTCCAACTTCCTACGTGCTCCGTGTTGCCTAAACGCCCAAAGTAAAATGACATTTTTGTATTTGTTCAAAGGTGCCCGCGTTTACGAAGAGCTGGGTGCCAAAGCCTTCGGGATGCCTGGCAAACTTGCCGCCTCCTGCTCCATCACCATGCAGAACATCGGAGGTGAGGACCTGACTTTTCAGCAGAAAATATACCAATTTATATTTAGTTGTTAACAATGAAACTCTTGGTTGTGTCTTCACAGCCATGTCAAGCTACCTCTACATCATTAAATACGAGCTGCCTATCGTCATCCAGGCTTTTACAGGAGCCAACAACAAGTAAGCTGGTTTTAAACATCTAAAATCTAAATCTACATATAGCACATGTTGCACAGAAGTGATATGGTTATATTCCATGTCCAAACCAGATGAATAACTCTTTATAGTCTTTATAGTCATTCCGTTAGATTGAGATGTTTGACGTGAACAATAAATAAAGAATATTTAGTATTCTGAGTGGGTGTTTGTCCAGAAAATGACTGAAAACTAAATGTAAGTGAGCTGATTTGGATGGAAACACTTGGACTGGCACGAGTAGCAAAATGGCTGCCGGTTGTTTTCTCAAGTGTTTAGAGAAGCAAAGTCTTTGTTAGAGTCTGGGGCGGGGGGACTGTGTGTCCCTGTAAGAGGGACGTTTGGTTGTGTTGAAAGAACGCCAGAGCTTCCATCACAACCCTTCAAAGAGCTCCTTCAGAAGATGGAGGCGGTGCCGCTTCGAGACGGAGCGAAGAATGAGCTCACTGCGAGCCTGGATCCAACTTTAAAATATTGATGTGTCCCGGGCTCTTGAGTGCCGCTTTGTTGCTTCTATTTCGGCGAGGGTTGGCGTCATCCTGTGCAAGTCTAGCTGTGTGTGTGGGTTTTGTCAGGTTGAGCTGTTCAATCGTGCGACTAGATCCTGTCAGAACAGTGGATTCAGTAGAAAAAAAAGTCTGCGCTCAGGCTGAGCTAGGTGGTTAATTAGCTTGTAAAGAGAAAAGCTGGTTTTAACGATGTATTGACCGAATTAAATGAGGTTTTATCGCTGACATGTTGTTTTTGTCACATCACAGTGAATGGTACATTAACGGAGACTACCTGGTGCTGCTGGTGTCACTCTGTATTATCCTGCCACTCTCACTGCTCAGAAACCTGGGTAAGGAATGGGATAAAAGATTAATTAAGCTTTAAAAAAAGAAGCAGCTCATGGTTCTTTTTTGTGTTTTCCCTCCTTCCTCAGGCTACCTTGGTTACACCAGTGGATTGTCCCTCCTCTGCATGGTGTTTTTTCTTATCGTGGTGAGTATTGGCCCCACCTTGTGTCCTTCATTCTTGGCGTGACAACATTATTTCTATTTCCCGCATGTACTTGTTGCGACACGTCACTGGTTTCCTGTTAAATAGATAAATCTGTTGCCCTTGTAAACAAAGAAAGATTGGTGCCAGGCAAAGATCACATTGTTTGAATATGTTCTGGATAACGGTTTTAACAATGTTTCCTCGCCTTTTTCTTTAGGTGATTGTAAAGAAGTACCAGATCTCGTGCCCTCTGCCGTTTTCCGACCATGTGAATGAAACCATGCAGATGTTGAACGGTACCTCCACCAGCATCAACTCCACTGGGGACGAGGAGGACACATGCACACCAAAATATGTCGTTATCAACTCCCAGGTAAAGCCATTTTACAGTCAAAATATCCACAGAACTAACATTTGAAAAATGGGGGATCATCATGTTTGTGTTATGTTGTATTTTTCCAGACGGTCTATGCTCTACCCATCCTTATCTTCGCCTTTGTGTGCCACCCGACCATTCTGCCCATGTACGAGGAGTTGAAAGAGTGAGTGCCTCCTCTATTGCTTCTGAACATTTTTAATTACTTCAGTGGTCTGTTTTTTTTTTTTTGTCTAAAAATAAAATATCCTTTCCTTCTCGAACAGTCGTTCTCGCAAAAAGATGCAGAACGTTGCCAATGTGTCCTTCCTAGCCATGTTCATCATGTACCTGCTGGCTGCCCTCTTTGGATACCTCACCTTCAACAGTGAGTCTTTCATTTTCTATCCAGAACTGATAACGGTTGGCAAAAGGAAATTTTAATTTGAGTCCTCAAGGCCACTCATGCAGCAGTGTGAAAACCCCCACCTGACGCAGCCGGTGCCAATGTGTTCCTGTTTGTCCTCACATTTTAGAGGATTTTCTGGGACATTACACCACTTACATAAGAGCATAAACATCAGTAACACCGGGCGAAACCCTTCAAAATGTTGTGTGCAGTCACAGCACACCAGCAATGTCAAACACAGAGTTTAGTTCTTTAGTTTTCAGGTTATCATTTCAAAATAAATAGCTAATTAGATGTTCAAATATATCCCATGTTGGTGACAAATAGAAAGTGTTTCACACCGCTGATTACATTTTACAAACTCAACTTCAAAGTGTTTTTTTAATTTGCTAACATGCTAAAAAGGGCTAACAAACTGGTTTAAGCGCAACACTTAGCATAACGTTGCTCTATTATTTCAGCTTACTAATGTTTGAAAACAATGTTCAAACAAACTACTTTATATGTAAAATTATGTTTACAATCACTTTTATGAGGCATTAAGCTTTAGCTTGCAGCTAAATGCTAGTGTCAGTATGCTAACATTTACAATGAAATGGCTAAAGAGATGGTGTTGAGCATTTAACATAAGTTATCTCATTGTTTCAATCTGCTAATGTTCAAGGAAAGCTAAACTAATGAAACACTTTTGGTTTGAAACATRTTTATATACATGTTTAGCCCGCATATCTAGTCTTTTAGCATGGCTAAAAACGTTGATTTGGTTTTATTTCCACTGATTTGCTTACAAATAATAAAGTGGTTCCAAATTAATACCATTTTGAAACATTAAAACTGACTTTCTTTGTTTAAAAACAGATCAAATATATTAGCCCTCTTCGTATAATTTATTGTGTGCTAACACAGTAATATATACACATGGATGTTTTATCTTTTATTTTTTATCGCTAACTTAATTGGATGGATGTTTTTTTTTTTCTTCACAGTACACGTGGAAGCTGAGCTGCTGCATACATATTCCAGGATCTACAAGAACGATGTTCTTCTGCTGGTGGTCCGTCTGGCTGTTCTGGCTGCCGTCACCCTCACAGTTCCTGTAGTGCTCTTCCCTGTAAGCATCAACAAAGTGCATTTACTCATATAATAAGCTAGAAGGAATAATTCATACTAGAACTTTACCTCTTGAGCCCCATGCCCCTGGTACCATAGGCAAACTGCATTTCCTATTTTTGAATTCTTTTAACTACCTTAAGATCCATCAGTTAAATGTGGACATCGTTTGGTATTATCCGAAATCTCCGAACCTTGGCTAATAGCTCATAAAAAACATTTCTTCATTCACCAAACACAGTTAAAACATCAAGCAGTTGAAAACACCTAGAGGCAGAAGAGGTTAACCCCCCGTCTCCTTCTGTACAGATCCGTACATCCGTCATCCACCTCTTGTGTCCCAACAAAGACTTCAGCTGGATCCGCCACATCATCATCACTGTGGTCCTGCTTGGTAGCACCAACCTCCTGGTCATCTTTGTTCCCACCATCAAGGATATCTTCTGCTTCTTTGGTTAGTATCTGCACGACTCTATTGTGTTATGTCTTAAAGGTGTCACATTAAGAAAATTGAGTGACCATAATTATTATTTATTCACATTCTCTCAGGCGCCTCTGCTGCTTCAATGCTGATCTTCATCCTGCCATCAGCTTTCTACATCAAACTGGTCAAGAAGGAGCCAATTAACTCTCAACAAAAGATTGGGGTAAGATAAATATAATATTTAGGATATTTTACCTCAAGTCATGTGTGTATGGTAAATGTTTGGGCCTTGTTTTGGGTCTTATRTACACTACATTAAATATTTTCGAAATTGAAGAACTTTAAATTTAAATTTATTCCATTAATGTAGACGTTCTCACCACCTAGTGGTTCAACATGGGTATTTCAGCAAGATTTTTTCTCGTACATTTATGGGGTCTGAGCCATTAATTTGGCTTGTTTAAAAAGTTTAATATTTAATCTTTGTTGCAAAGTTGAACTATATTAATTGTAAAATTATTTTCTTCTCCAGGCTATCTTGTTTCTGATATGTGGAATCATAGTGATGGTTGGCAGCATGAGTCTCATCATCGTGGACTGGATCATGAACAGCACCAAAGACAACGGACACTAAAACTCCAGCTTGGCAGAAACCAGGTTCTCTGACTTGGACTGTAACTAATGCACAATCAAGATCAAAACTTGTCACGAACGAAGAATACCATTAAAAAAAACTCACTTGATTCTCAGTTTTGACCTACTGAGCGATGGTCCATGCCATTCCTAGAGAATGTATCTGAACTTTGTACAGTACGCTGTTGTAGACCACAAAGATGGTGTTTTTTTTTCTTTTTCTTTTTATTGTAACTTTGAAAATGTTTTAATCTTTATATAGTTAGGGTACAGCAGAAAACAACTACATAAATGTGCCTCGTAGAGACAACATAGCGGTAGAGTTTAAAAAGCTACTCTTGGGTTTGTGGTGTTTGAGTGTGTCTGTAACCTCCAAGCTCAACCACAACATCCTGCTGAGAAAAGTATGTTAAGACTGACCGGAGGCTACGTGACTTGAACATTTATCCCACGGTTATTTTTAAATGTTCCTCATTTATTTTGTTTTTTACTTTGCCAAAAAATGTGTTTGTTAAACATCCTTGTATGTGGAAGAGCACCTGAGGTCGGGCACTTCTGTCAGCGGCGTGCCCTAAAACGTTTTCAGTATTTCTACTAAAGCTTTGTGACATTGTTAGAAGCTCCTGTGTCTGTTAACAGAACCAGACTGTGAGAACTGCAGAGTATTATACAATAGATCAAGACTTAAACTGTACTTAACACTTTATAGCTTTTCAAATATTTTATTGGTACCGGTACATAATGCGAGGCGACAACAATGCTGCTTTGAGGAGTATAAAAAATGGAAATCTGCTAATTTCTGGTTCTCTACTTGTGGACAGGGATCCACAAAAACGGGAATCCCACCAATTTTCTGGCTCCATTTTCACTCATGAACGTGGAAACAAAAAAATAAAAACGTAAATCTTTGGAATTCCAGTTCCATTTTCCAATTGTGAACATGGAGCCACAAAAACTGGAAATTTTCTGATTTATGGTTCCATGTCCGATCATGGATAAAGAGCCACAAAAACATTTCTTCTCTCCTAGCCAGAGTGAAGGGACACAATTCTTTATGGGAGAACTCTTTAAATTTGACTACATGCAGTGGTTGTGATATTTACCTGTTACACTTACAAACCAACAAAGAACAACTGTATAAAGTCCAGCGTGCTCTTTAACATTACCAAAYGAACAGAAGAGTGGATTTTGTGTTTTTTTACGTGCGGTTACACGGTTTGTGCTTTTTGAAATGTTTCACAATGAAGAACTTGGGAGCTCAGCGAGAACTCACTTCTCGCCGCGAGACGATGCACTGTGCTTCCGACACGCATCAAAACTGTTTTTGTCATCTATTTATGGGAGACCGTTTAATCAGTGTCATCTATTTTAATATATTTATATATTATTGTGTACATATGTGTGTGTGTATAAATCTGTTGTGTTTGAATGTAAATATGGTTTGCTTTCTTTTCTTTTTTTAAACCAAGAAAACATTGGCGATGTAAAAGAAAAAGGTGGTGAATTTGTGACGCTGTTTTTTTCAGCTCCTGAATACAAAAGATGATGGATCAAATTGTTCTTTTTGGCACAGCACGGTCGGAGAGGACACCAAACCTCTCCTGACCTCAGAAGCAAAAAGGGCTTTGCCCGTCAGATTAAATACTTGTTTCAATGAAACACCTATATGTATATTTTGTATTTAATGTCCTAATAAAACCAACTACACTCAACTTGGACTTTCATTGTTTTTTGTGGACTGCTCCAATTTTGAATTTACTATCGTTCAACCTGGAGTCATTTTATCTTTCTGCACAAGTAATGCAAAAATAAAGTATTGGGAAATTTTAAAGATTGACATTGTTTTAAGATGGCAGCTCAACATTAGCAAAACCAAAAAGCTGGTGTAGAGACCTGACGATAACCTCAAACCAATCCCATCTATGTATCAGGGGACAATAGTAATAATAGTTCAGATTGTTCAGGAATACAAATACCCAAAGCATCTGGACAAGTACAGTAAAGGGACTCATCAGTGAACACAAAAGGGGTCCAAATCAGAGTATTTCCTGCTCAGACTCAGATCCATAATGGGACAATAGTGTCACAGAAGCCAGTTCAGTTGGTCCAAGCAAGTGACTTAGAATTTTAAGTCCATTACTAATATAGAAGAAAAATACTCGCATTTCTACTCATTTCTTTTTTKTTTACTTTTGAATTGTGAGATAGGTGCAAAATAGAATGTTTGGTTTAGATTTTTTTTCTTAAAAACCAAGTTTGTTTTGGAGTTTTACACCACTGGTGGCAGAGGAATTTCCATTCAAGATTAAAACAAGTGTTTCCGATTTGCTTTGGAAGTGACCCCATTTGTGATGAACCAACAAGCTCGTGGATCATCTGAGCAGACCCATATCCCAGATAAAACAACTAAAACTTTTCAAGTTTCACAATGAAAACAGCAGTCATAATGACCATTGGGTTGTCATTTTGCACTTGTTTAACAACCTCATTAACAACTGTTACTTTGTAGACTGAAGGCCCAAAAGTTTGTAAAGCTTTTCGGCTAATATACTTTGCAAAAAGCAAGGAAATTTGTGTTTAGTAGATTATTTCTCTGTTGTAACAGTGCTTTTTGGTAATATACCGGACCCCTGATGAGTAGCACCTGGGGATATCAGAAACTCAAAAAAAGTGTCAGTACCTAACCACTTCAAACCTGAGGGAAAAAAATACAGATATCTTAAATTACCTAAGAGATTAAACAAGAACAGAGGATTGAATTCTTTTGACAATGTCGCCCTCTACTGGTCATCTGTGGAAACGAGGACAGACCCAGATAAAAGGCTTGTTTTTGCCTCAATATATAAACAGTATTTTAAATCAGAATCAGTATCAAAGAAAAAGTTTTTGTTTTCCAAATACATTAGACAAATTTTAAGATAAAATGTCAAATTGTAGCCTCAGCATGAATCAAAACTGATCAATCAAAACTAAGATATTGGGCATACATCGTCTCAAGTCTGATTTCTGGATTTTATTGGAGCTAATTAATTAATTAATATAATGTGACTTTAAATAACTGAATGACAATGTAGGTAGTTACACATCTAATCTGGCTTTCACTATATAAACATTATTTTCAAACATCTTAGGACTTTTTTTTCAAAGAGGCAAACATCTATTATYGTCTTCACTACAGGGAATGCTTATTTTCTGCATGGTTTCAAAGACTTGATTTAGATAACCTTTTATTTTTAATTCTGTAGGAACACATTTTTAATACATGCAAAATACCAGGCTGAAGCAGTGTAAAATAAATTAAACCATCATTTTTATTTAAATCTTGTTTTCGGAGGAAATATGGGGCTCAAAGCCACTGATAATTTGAGCAGAAGTGGGTGGGGCTTCTGAAAAAATCTGAGAGGGAGTCCAGTTCTCAATCACTAAAGCTCAAGTCAGGTCTCTTTTTACAAAATTATCAAAACTGAGCTTTAAGATGATACTGAGCTTCAACCTACACACACACACACACACACACACACACACACACACACACACACACACACACACACACACACACACACACACACACACACACACACACACACACACACACCAGAATTGACTCATCTCGTCGTACGGTACGAAGCAAACAGCACACAAAGAAGCTGCTAATTTATTCCACTGTTTTATGGATAGTTTGCACAGTTCATGTACACAATCTGATATTTATTACACATTCAGGAAGCAGGAACCCCTCTGTCACACATTACTGATTGGGGGGATTATACTTTGGATCCAATCGGGGACTGGATTAGAATCACAATCATCAGATTGAGCCACAGTTTCAAAATAAACAAAGCAATTTTGACTAAGATTTCATTGGAAATATTGTGTTTTTTTCCCATTTTTTTCTTAAAAAGAGTAATAATATTTAACAACCAGACTCGCTCAATGACATCATTGCTCACTCAAAGCTGCGCTCTAAACAGTAGTTTCCAAGTCCTGTGATTTATGCAAAATAAAGGGCTCTTGCATTACAATTTATGATCAGGTCATTCTTTTTTTAACAAAATATGAAAATCTATTTAAAAAAAAAAAACTTCATTCAATAAAAGGTAGATTAAAAAAAAAAGCTAGCTCTCCATTGTCTTTCGTTTTGGGAAGCCAGGATCCAGCAGGAGGAAATTGCACTTGAGCAGCAGGATGGGTCTGAGGGGCGTCGCTGCTCCGCTCCGGCAGCAGCGCGGCTGGTTGGTCATTTCTTGCGGGCGTGTTTGTATTTGTCCACGTAGGCTTTAACCAGGTTGGCCACTTTACTAGAGTTCACCTCGCCGCTCTTACTGTGACAAACCTGATGGGGAAAAAAACAATCTGGTTAGATTTAATCTCTTTTCTGTTAGTTTCTGCTAATCCACTAACAGCAGAACTAGTTTCTCATTTAGCTGAATAGATTTTTTGCTAAGTTTGGAAAGCAATAAATTTGGTTCTGCTAAGTTTAAGTCCATTAAAAAAAATCACAAGTTTTAAACTTCTATATTTATGTCGTTAATCCCGAATTAAATAAAAACTATCCTCTCTTACATGCAGTGCTGATAGGGCTGCCACGATTTGTCGACTAGTCATGATTAGGTAAATTATTAAAAAAGTCAACTACTAATTTAAGTCGATGCGTCATTTTTTTTCTAACTTTGTATTCGTTTTTTATTAAAGTAATCATTTGTGGCAGCCCTAATTACCACTACTGTGAATGTGTGTCAAGGACAGAAAGGCAGACACGCGGCAGTGGAAGGTGCCGCAGCCGTTTGGAGAGAAAAACAAAGTTAGAAAAAATAAAATGATGCATCAACTATTGAATTATCAATGTTTTTAATAGTGGACAATAATCGTAACAAGTCGACTATCGTGGCAGCTCTAGTAAACTCCATGTGTGTTAGCATGTAGCACCTTTAGCAGTTAAACTTCAAAATAAGAAAAAAGAAATAAAACATTTAATAATATTTAAATAATACAAAAAATAAAATAAAACAAATGAAAAATGTAAAAGTTATGGTAGAGAAAGTATTTGCTATTTGTTGTAAGTACAGATTTGATCAAAGAAATGTTTTTATTTTGAAAGGATTAAACTAATTATCACAAGTTAGAACAATAATTCTGGTTTAAATTGGCCGATTTGCCACAGATGATCTCGTTCAACTCCAAATTAAATCAATCGAAAACTGGTTTGCATCAGTCCCACCAGTTTTCAACTATGAAGACTATAGACTGCTAACCAACTTAGCGGTTAATATCAGCTGTCTCTAATTTATTTATCTAATCTAGTGGTTTAGTTTTAGTGGTTTTGGAGCTAAGATTCTTGTTTAGCGGATTAGTGATTAGCGAAGCTAACATTTTGGTCAGCTGTGCCCACAAATGGTTCTAGATTAACAGAACATCAGAGGAAGTACCTTCTCTACTGCTTTGCGGACAATCTCTTTGTACTCTTCCTTGGTGATTTCCTTCTTTTGGTAAAATGGTTTGATGGCTGTTTTCACTTCGTTTATAGCTTTCTCTTGGATCTGTTGTTTCTAGAAAAAATAAAAACAAACAAAATGACACAAAGCACTGTAGCTTTACGGAGAACATCAGACGAGCAAGGCAGGTCGTTACCTTCTCTTTCTTGGAGCTGTCAGCCTGAGCCTTGCTGTGCTGGCTGGGCTGAGTCGTAGAGGACGGCAGCACCTGGCTGGGAGCTGGTTGTGTCGCTGAGGCAACGCTCGCTTTGGTCGGCGTGATAAGAAGGGCGGGTTTGCCGTAGCCGATAACTGTGCTCACCATCTAGAATAGAGATTGTGCCGTTATTTTCATACTAATAAACTCAATCTAGAGTGTGATCTTGATATTTTTAATATAAATATGCTGCACCTGAGTCGTGTGACCGTCAGGCGGTGCTGATGTTACTGCCGTCTGGCTGCCTGCCTGCATGGGTGGAGGTGGCGGAGGAGGGGGTGGGAGGCCCTGTGCGCCGACAGCGGGCACCTGAACAAAGGGGATGGCACGGTGGAGGTGCACAGGGACCTGAGGAGGCATGGCGTAGGGGGCCGCAGGCTGCAAAGTGATCGGCATGGATCCCTGCAGGCTCTGGATGGGGTACTGATGATGATGAAGAACGTTGAGCTGAGGAGGATGAGGAGGAAGCACGTTCATCACAGCTACTGGGRCGTTCCCCGAGGCTACCTGCACCTGGGGAGGTGGAGGAGGAGGATCGGTCTTTGGGGGATCTGAGGACACAAAAAAGGTGAATTTAAAATGACAGAGATTTTGAGACAGCTTGGAAATGGAGAATTCTATAGACCAGCTATGATCCTACTTTGGCTTTTGCACAAGAGATAAACAATTTTTTAGATAAAGCTCTTGAAGATAGTCACATTACAAAAAGTGAATATGATTTTTTTATGGCTGTAGTGGTCACCCTGGGTGGAATAAACGTTCCACCTGCCTTTGAMCTTGACCACGGAAGGCCTCCTTTAAAGAACAGAACTCTATTCATTTTTTATGGTCATAACATGTTTTCTTAAACAATTAAGGGACATTTTATTTCATTTTATTCTCTATAAT